GTGACACTGCGCCAGCCGCGCTTCATTCCCCGCGGGGGAGCAGACGTGAATCCAGCACTTCGGACTAGAAACACTTGTTTTTCCTCTTCAGTACAAAAGCTTGAGAAATCCGATGATGACACAGGGTATAAATCGCTTTATTGCTACTCTCCATAGAAAATTAATTTATGTGTGTTTAGAAAAACAGGTTATCCACTGCAGATCCAGAGGAGAAACGAAGTCACCTGGGAGCCGGGAGCCGCCCCCAGCGATGAAGACAGCACCCATCACACCTCCTCTCAGCCCCGCCAGCCTCAGGCTTTGTAGCTCAGCTCCGCGTTCATCTTCGTGTACATCTCATAAACGGCGTCCAGGATGGGGGTGACCCTGGAGAGGAACTGACGGATTTTCTCGATGCTTTCCTCCTCTTTGACTTCTTTTCCCTTTTCTAACGCCTTCAGCAAATCTGATTTGTATGGGAGAGCGTAGACTGAGCCCTAGAAAACGGGGGAAGAAGCTGTAAGGTTCCCACAAACACAAAGTCCTCTCCATTCCACATGCAGGATCCCAGTCTGGGTTGTTCCCGGAGGCCTCCGAGCGTACGGAGACCCCTGCGGGTCTCCGGGCCTCCCTGAGGCCTCCGGGAACAACCTTGGGGATGGTGGCTGGACCCTCGGAGAAGCAGGGATGCGCAGAGAGGTAATATATCAGCAGCTTCCCATGTTTCCAAGCTCTTATTCCCCTAAAACATATCGCTGCTGGGGGCAATTCATGGAGAAACCGGGCTTAAAGACAGGGTCTCCTCTACGGAGACGGGAATTCTCACCATGAAGAGCTTCTGCAGCATCCAGCCGTGGTACTTCTTCAGCGCGATCTCGTACGCCTTCATCGCGTTCACCCGGATGAGGTTGGGATGCTCCTCGTCCCGCTCGCCGTCGGAGATGCTCTGCAGCAACACCAGCATGAACTTCAGGCCCCTGTGGGAAGAGCGATCAGGGTGGGGAAGGGGATGCTGCTTCCCAACCTCCAGCCAGGCACCCCCTGATCCTGGCGCATCCAGGTCACCCAAAAACCACACGGCACCCTGCTCACCGAGCTGACGCCTGTCCCTCCTCCCCGAAACG